ATGTACGGAGTTTATAATGAAAAATTGTGTATTTCCGACATGCAGCAATCGTGGTTGTTTTGCTTCGGAATCCCCCAGACATGCATACGCCGATATGGCTCCTCAGGGTTTCTTTGTTATTGGCTGACTTCATGATATCTTCCAGTTGAAACCGGGGCCCAATTTCACGGCGCTGCTTACTGCAAGTGAAAAATCGGCACTTAAGCCCTACCGTAGCAGAAAATTCTACGCTTACATACACCGAATGTATTTCATGGGTTAGGGAGGAATTTTGGCTTGTGCTCATGCGTACATCCCATAACTAAGGATTCTGTGCTTAAAGGGTTGGCGCAGAATTTTTCTGCTTGTGTGGTTAGTGCAGACATGGCAGAATGGAGATCGTAAGCGCGGAATTCTGCGGTAAGCAGCGCCATGAAATTGGGCCCTGTTCAAGTGAATTAGGCTGATATTACCCCCAGAACTGTCGTGACTGTGGGGTCCGATGTCCGCCCCTCTCCAGCAAACCCCACAGAAAACAAGCCTTTTTTGCCGTAGGCTCTACATGACGTTTAACAGGGCACGAACGGGGGTTTTATTCTTGTTGTGTACTCATACTATAAATGCTGAACCATTCCCCCAAAAGTTCTACAGATGTATGGGAGCCGACATACGCGTACCTTTGTACTGAGTACCAGGAAAAAACGGGCCAAAACCATGCTGATTTTCAAAAAAAGGTGCAAATATTTCCCAATCAGCGTCCGAGAGTCATACAGTTCAAAGATCACTGCCTGTCTGCATCCACATGCGGCCTCAACAGAAAGTGTTCACTGTGCGACAACATACTCACATGCACTGGTACCCAAAGGCTGTTGCTTGTCATTCCGGCCATTTGGGCATAAATAATGAGGAGCCCTGTGATTGGTCAGTGTGACCCCCAGCACACCGGAGCCAACTGCCATTTCAACCATTCAGTCCAGTCGCGGCTAAGAATCACACACATGTTCGGAATGTGGCTGCAGCCAATTTCCATGTCTTGTGTATCAGTCGCAGCTGTAGTCAACCATTTGGTCGCAGCTCGTCTTTGTAAGTATACATGAACCGTATGACTCTCGGATGCTAATCAGGAAATGTTTGCACATTTTATTGGAAATCGGCATGTACCTTGTAAGCTACCATACATAGAACTCCTAGGGGAATAGGGAGGCATTTCTGTGGGTACACAAGAAGAATAAAAGCCGTGTTCATGTCCTGCAGCGAAAAAGGGAAGGTTTTTCTGTGGGGTTCGTGGGAGCGGGGCGGATGTCGGATCCCACAGTTCTGGCGGTAGGCTGATATTCTGTTTTCAAATTAGGCCTAGTCCATTTGACGTGAACTTTCATGACTTTATGATCTCCAGATATTTTTAAGGAGCGATAGAAGTTGCATCCGCTGCTGACATGGATCGACTTCTGAGATTGGGTAATGGAATGCCTGGGATGGGTGGACCGGGTGGAGGTAGTGATGCTCCAGTAGTTGATACAGCTGAACAAGTCTACATCTCATCACTAGCACTGTTGAAGGTAGGCCTACTGAGTACTGCAATTAGGTACAGTGGCATTTGTAGGGCATTTGAGTACGTATGTCCAGTAACAGATTTGTAAATGATCCTAAATCATGTACAAATAGGGCTTTAGTCCGACCTCTACATGTCTGGTGCATCAGCCAATATGATTGCCTGATTGTTGTACAATTGATCAATTCTATCTGAAATCTCCAACTTCCAATTCCAATTCCTTTCTTTGAAACAGTCGTTCACATTGCTAAATTAGAAAGAAATGGGGATGGTGGTACTATCGCCAAATGATGCAGTACATTTAAGATGGACAGATCACGCAAAGATTGAGCAATCGGTCAAATACATGTAAACCAATCGTGCCCACATCTTGCACAAACGAATTGTATATTTCGTAAGTTTTTCCACATTCTTTTGGTTACATGTTGTGATAGCACTATGCTCTGAGTTTGTGCTCAAGCACACTACTATTTGTGTAATCTTTCTGACATCCCATAGATGTTGAAGCATGGAAGAGCTGGAGTTCCTATGGAAGTCATGGGCTTGATGTTAGGAGAGTTCGTAGATGATTACACAGTTAGAGTAATTGATGTGTTTGCAATGCCTCAGTCAGGAACGGTAAGCCCCTTTTGTTGCCCTGGACTGAGCATCTTAGATATAATCTTGAAGAAGGCATTATAATGCTATACACTACCTGCATAAATCCCTGTCATCTGATTTGTGCATCCATGATCACATATCATTGTAGTATTCATTCTATTTACCAGTACCCATTGAATAGAACTTATTTGACTGGTACCTACCCCCTGGTACCTACCCCCTGGGATGGGAACTAGTCTAACATAGCGCTAATGTGCGTGACTATATACATGTAGCTGCCAATTCCCTTATTTCGCCACTTGCTGTGAAAACCAGTCAGACTTAATGATAGGTGGCGTAATTGGGGACCTGGTGACGATACCGTCGCGCACATTCGGGGGCGGCATCAGGTACAAATCTGTTTTGCAAAATGGCAGATTCTAACAAGTACCCTTAATTGTTCTTCTTAAGAGAAGTGGACTTATGCAGGTATTCTAAAAAAAAAGTTTCTTATTTGTGCAATGGTACATATAAGCAAGAGTTTTATTCAGTGATGGATAAAATGTTCCATTCCACTCGGCTCTTCCACGTAGAATAGAACATTTCACCTATCACCTCATGAATTTAGTCTTACCATTGCAGTCACAAACATTTTTGTGTTCTAGTAGGCATAGTAAATTTTTTTAAGTTTTGAGCACTTGTGAAATTTGTGTAGAAAAACCCCAAGAAGCACTGTAGATTCACTGTTTGATTTTGTAGGAAAGTCACTTATTGTATTAAGTGAAGCAATTTGCTCTTTTAAAACTAATTTATCATCTGCCATAGACAGTTTTTTGTCATCACATGCTGACTTTGTTAAATCCACAGGGAGTAAGCGTGGAGGCAGTCGATCCAGTATTTCAGGCCAAGATGTTAGATATGCTACGACAGACGGGAAGGTAAGTTTGAGAAAAACCTCGAATTCTGCAAAAATCATGGATTTGGGAGTAGAAAGCGGAAAACGCAATTCTCGGTTTTAAAAAAAACCAAATATTTGATCATTTCTGCACAATTAATGAAATAAATATGAACCCAAATTAGGAATGACAACTCATTTTCACTGTTTAACTCACTTTCAAAGTAACATTTGGTAGCGTTTGCCCTCCTGTTTTTCCTTTGCGATATTGTTTTCCTCCGGCTCTGCACCGCGGAGATCACACAAGTCCTGTTCCCTACATAGTGTCCAGACGTCTCACGGCTTAGGAATAAATCAGTAGGGATGGGGACCAGTCCAAGATCACAGTGGCATGGTGTAGGCCCTACATGTATCATTATGCCAAAGATGGGCTACCTGTAGATGTATGGTAAATGTAGGCCTACAGTACTGGACTGTACATACAGTCGACTCTTGGTAATACGAGCATGGGTAAGATGAGACTCCGGTTAAGACGAGAATATTTGCCGGTCCTGACTGTATTATGCACATTCCTATGACGAGAAAAACCCATAATACGAGCTTGCGTGTTACGAGATTCCATTTAAGACAAGCATTTTGGGGGCCCCAGCTTTGTGCAAATGTATTGTTATCCGTCTAATTAGCACAAGCGTTTTTGAAGGCAACTTGTCAATCAGTTAATCCATTGAATTCGGAAAGCCGCTTCCGTAATTGATTGTGTACAGTCGTAAAGCGCTGCAGTTTTCACTCACCAAGTGAAGCCCTCTACTGGCCAATCCACACCACCAATAACTGGTTCCCATCCTTCCCAGCCCAGCACTGATGTTGGTTACAACCTAAAATGTTAATGTACTTACGTGCGTGCGTTGTATAACAATCTCATCGCGGCGTGCTGGGGATGTAAAACAGCATCGCTCCAACCATGCATCCTCCAGCTCGACTCGACCGGTTTCTCCGTTCTGGTATTATGTTATTGTTCTTTATTTCAAGTCTATTTTCATAAAAAGTACGGTTACTTCTCACTTTCATAAACATAAACTGTTTTGAAATTAAATTCCAAACCACACGTACGTGCATACAGAGTACATGTAGGCCTACATGTATGTACAGGAAGTTGTACATGATGTACGCTTAACGATGCGGTTGATCGGTTACACATGCAACAAGTGGGACAGCAGCTTTTGCATAAGACGAGGTCCGGATAATACCAGCTAATTTAGTCCCAAGGCCCTCGTATTAACGAGAGTTGACTGTATGTACAGGTACAGTCACATACAGTTTTTGCACACACAATTTAGAAAGCAGAAGAAAGCAGAATTTGGCTTTCAGAAAGCAGAAAATTCTTGACTTTACTATAATTAGTACTCCTGAAAGGAAAACTGGTCATTTGTTAAAATATTGATATCCAAAATTAAAAAACCTTACTGAATCTCTTATGTTTGTTCCTGAGAAAAGACACTGGAAAAGTCCAGGAAATGCTCTAAAATGCAGCTGAGAGCGTCTAAAGTCCTAAATTTTCCCATGCCCATGGCTTCGCAAAATGTTGGTAAACCACAATGGAAATCCCCACAGTTTGAAAAATCCTGGGGAGAACCTTGTGGAGTATTTTTATACTTGTACCTAGAGTGGAAAATAGCACAGGAGGAAGCAGTACTGACTTGTGTCATGGTTGTACATACATGCTGCAGATTTATTCCAAACATCACCAGTCTACGAAGAGGCAAAAAATAAAATTCAAAATACCCACTGTGGATAATCTTAAAGCCCACTAAAGACCAAAAGCCAGTCTGTTGTGCCATTCATGAGTGGCATTGGCACGATGCAGCAACGACAGATTTTTAATGCGTTTTGTGAAACCTTGTGTTTTTCTGTATATCTTTGGAAGCCAGTTCTAACTCAGAATCGCGATCCTTAGCTGGAGCGGGAACCGGCTCTGAGAATTCTGGAACCGCCCAACACTAATGGACATGCTGTAGTAGGATACCAACTCAAGCCTTCCTATCTGTCAATGAAGAGGGTTTAAAGTTTGATCTCCAAGTGGTTAGGTCAACCGGTTGAGTTAAATACTGTCATGACAGTGTGGCAGTATTTAGCACAGCTATCGATGGGGATGGAATTTGACTTTGGTGATACAATTCTCAATAACAACTTATTAAAATGCCATAAAGGCCAAACTTATTGTGAGTAAAACCAACATTATCCTGTTCTTAATAAAAATCTACCTGCATCAGTCATTTCAATCCCCTTTTATTTTGGTAAATGCCTGTTTGCACTCATTTTGGCATTGCGTTTGTCGCTTGATCTTTGTTGTGACAGACCAGAAATGGTTGTGGGTTGGTACCACTCTCATCCTGGCTTCGGATGCTGGTTGTCAGGTGTTGACATCAACACACAGCAGAGCTTCGAAGCATTGTCGGACAGAGCAGTGGCAGTGGTCGTTGACCCTATCCAGAGCGTTAAGGGCAAAGTGGTCATTGATGCATTCAGACTCATCAACACCAACATGATGGTTTTAGGCCAGGAACCGAGACAGACGACCTCTAACCTGGGTCATCTACAAAAACCATCTATACAGGCACTCATACATGGCTTGAATCGTCACTACTACTCCATTGCTATCAACTACAGAAAGAATGAACTGGAACAGAAGGTAAGCGGTTCTCCTGTGAAAGATGCTACAGGTGTAATTGTGTATCCTGTGTTCTATACGATAGGTTAAGGAATTGCAGCTGGGTTTTGGCCAAGACAGATGTTTGAAAAACAGTGTCTGGAGATTGGCATGGTTACTTGAGAACACAAAAGACCAACAAAAAGACTAAACCAATGGATGTACAAACTAGTAGTGGAGATAAACCGATACATTTCCTAGGAATTATGGAAGGCCTTCAAAGGTGTTTGTTGAAACAGATAACATAGTGTTCTCAAAGCAGTCAATGGTAAAGGTTTCAGATCTAGTCCATTTTGTCCTATTCAGAATGAAAAATAAAATTGTCCTTTTTTGCAGATGTTGTTGAATCTACACAAAAAAAGCTGGATGGACGGACTAACACTCAGAGACTACAATGACCATTGTAAACTGAATGAGAAGACAGTAAAAGAAATGCTGGACCTTGCCAAGAGCTATAACAAGGTAGAGTTATTAAATCTGTACCCCAAATGACCCACATGCCTTTACATACTCATGGGCTGGAAATTTGTGTACTTACTTAACACCTTGGACCCTTCCCAGGATAAAGGCTGTCTGTCAGAGACCTCCAGAGAGCTCTGTCCTGTACCCTTACCTCAAGTTGTCTCCAGGTGATGCCCAGCCTCTTGGTGTCTGCCCGGAGGTCTCGGCACCAGGTGTTTCTTGGCTGGCCTCTTTTCCTTTTTCCCTGGGGGTTCCAAGTGAGTGCTTGTCATGTACTTGTTGATTTCCTAAGTTTGTGCCCAGCCGTATTTCATTTTCCATTGACGTCTGGTCTGTTCTGTCCCAGAGGTCGATGTTGCTGATCTTCTCCAGCCAGTGTATCCTCGGAATCTTCCTGAGACAGCTGTTTGCTGAAGGTTTGGATCCTATGAAGAGTAATTTTTGTCATCCGCTATGTTTCAGGGGTACTGATTTCCTGACTTTTGTCTTTCTGGAACGTTCCCTGGAGTTCCATACTGTTTTGAGTTGTAGAAAGGCTGCTCGAGCCTTCCCAATCCTGACCCTAACATCTGCATCTCTCCTTCCCTCCCTCCCTATCGACAATGATTGATGATACTTCCTGAGGAGGTGAAGGAGTCCACCTCCTTGAGAGCATTTCCCCGTAGCAACACTGTGTCATCCTCATGACTTTGGTCTTCTTTTGGTGGATGGTCAGTCCTACTTGTTCAGAGGAGTCCTTGAGTCTGTCCTACACCTGCTGATGGTTGTGGGATAGTAGAGCCAAATCATCAGCAAACTCCAGGTCATCAAGCTGAGACCAAAGTGTCCACTGTATATCATTCCCTTTCTGGTCGGTTTCCGTCTTCATCACCCAGTCAATAAACCAAGAGGAAAAGGAATAGAGACAGAAGGCACCCTTGTCTCACCCCGGTCTTGAGCTGGAACTGTCGTTTGAGCTGTCCCTCATGCACAGCTCTGCAGCTCACCACATCATAGCTGTGCTGTATCAGATTGATAATCTTCTGTGGTACTCTGTAGTGTCAAAGGAGTTTCCATAGATTCGCACCGTCCACACTGTCACATACCTGTTCGTAGTCCATAAAGTTGAGGTAGAGTGGTGAATTCCATTCCAGTGACTGCTCCACTATGATGTACAGTGTGGCAATCTGGTAGCTGCATGATCTGTTTTTCCGACATCCCGCCTGCTGATCTCTGTGCTTGGGGTCGACAGGGCTTTTCATCCTATCCAGAATGATCCTGTTGCAAACCTTGCCTGGCACCACCGACAGGGTGATTCCTCTGCAGTTGGCGCACTGGCTGAGGTCACCATTCGTTGGAAGCTTAACAACGTTGCTTAATGATAGTGAAATTTGTGTGGGGATGTCAAAAATTGTTGCGTTGGAAGTAAATATGAATTTTGTTTTGATCTTATCATTTTGCAGGCAGTAGAGGAAGAGGACACAATGACCAAGGAGCAGCTTGTTGTCAAGAATGTTGGCAAATTGGATCCTAAGAGACATCTGGAGGAACATGTGGAAGTGTTGATGACGGCCAATATTGTACAGTGTGTTGGTGCCATGATGGACACTGTTGTATTTAAGTAACTTAACTAGTCACTCTCAAAGTCCAAAGCCAACAGCATAAAAGCTTGTGCTTTGGATATCTTCACAAAGGTTCATTTTGTCAAAGTATGCACGTTTCCTTTGGGTTGCAAAAGTGTTGTGCCCAAAATGGACAACAGAGTTTCACACAAAGGATAACGTTGCGTCTTTTGTCATTTTCACAGGACAAAGGATGTAACCCAGTATTAATTAAACTTTAACTTTGTGATTGATTGTTGGCATAATGGCAGTATGGATCCTGTGTCAAGCTGGACATTCTCTCGTTAGTTTCTTTTATGAAAGGAAATTACATGAGCCCAGTGCCATGGCATTGCCCAACAGCAGAAAAGTTGTGCTTACTAAAGCATAAAATTCTCCAAACTGTAAGCAACATTTCATGGTAGTGTTTGGTATGGTTGTGCTAACGGTTTCATGTGCACAGTGGTGTTCTTTGTTATGTTACCAAGTTAAGCAAATTTTTCCCTCCGAGGTAAGCGTGTCTTTTGTTACTGCTTACATGTATGGCCTCCATGAAATACACGGAGCTGCTATTAGCATAAAATCGCTTTCCAAGCAGCGCCATGAATTGGGCCCTAGAAAGAACTCGCAATGACTGGCTTTTGACCGTGCTGAAAGTCTTCTGACTGAAGTAATCCAAGGAAAGTTTTCCTTTACCGTTGTCGGCAATTCTTAGCTGAGATACGCTCGAAAAGTTCTCCCTTGCTTGATTTCTTACTCTCCCCAAATAGATTTCAATGATCATTTACATATACTGCACAAATGTGACTCAACGATAATCAACTTGACACTGATACCAAGCAAAGTTGATAAGAAAACCTGGATAGTTTTACTTGACTCCAGTTTATCTCGGAACAAGATAAAATTCAACCCAAATGTACAGTTTAACCAGAAATGGAGTATGCATCACATGTACAATACCTATGGAGTACCTTTTTTATAAAAAGAATTGAGTCTCTATTTATCTTTCAAAATCTGACCAGCCTATACCCCCAAACACTAGGCACTTTTTGGCTTTTAGTCTTTTTAAAAGACCTTCAGAGTGTTCATTGTAGATGAGCATTGATTCTTTGTACAGGTCAATCAACAGCAGAAATAAAAGAAAACAGAAAAAGCTTCAAGTCATGTCAGTACTTTGTAGTAAGATTTAGAAAGGTTTGATGTTCACCCAAGGAATCCTTCCCGTAATAGTTGTTGAGGCTCCGTCAGCTGCCTTCCAAACCACAACTTGAATGTTTCCCGTAACTGGCTCAATGAAATATAAAAAGTTGCCAATATTCCTCATCCATCAGTCAAGACACGCCTTCTCGAGGTAACCTATATATCCAGATTTCTTTTTAAAATCGTTTTGACATTTCGGACTGGCTATGTGATGCAGAGAGAATATGAAAACACCAACCTTTACATGTGCATGTAAAAAGTATGCCAAGAAATTACATCCCAGAAACACACCTCTTCACTCATTATCCAGGGGACATTAGTTTGCTAGGATAGTTTGAAATGTGTGTATGAGACTGGCGATGACCCAAGCTGAAGACATGGCCTGCTCTTGGCAACCAGTTTAAAACTGTTGCAGCGCATTATTAACCCTGTTCCTGAATAAATCTTGATCAAATTCAAAGTTCACATCCATGTTTGACCATATTACTCCATATTTTCACTCTTAACCAAATCTATGAATGAGGAACCCTGTGGTTTCGCTAGCCCCTTCCTCTGATCTGAATGTAGATTTCCACTGAGAAGACTCGAGTTCGTGAGTTGGTAAGGTAAATAACAGAGTTATTAACTCAAAGGAAAACTCTGTGGTCAATTTTGTGGTTCAGTGTTTGCCACACAGTTTACAGAACCAATTCAATCGTTTCACTACTGTAGTGCAGTAGACATGCTAATGCATCTGAGATTTCTATACAGACTTTGCTTTGATGCTCCTATAGAAGGTCATAGAAATAATCCAGTCCTTGTCCTAACTCCCAAATAGATATCCCTGTGCCTAGCTCTTGGGCCAGCTGCAGACGAACTTGAATAGACTAGAAAAGAAAGTGAAACAAAATATGTAATATTTGTTGAGCAGCTATTTCATGGCTTAAACTTTGAAAAGGTTAAAACAACCATGGCTCACTCAAGACGGGCTCGTCTTGGCAGGTATTTTGTTGAAATTGGTTACTTTTCATTCGGTGTTGGAAATGTTGAAGAATCTGGAACAAACTACAGAACTACTAGCAAATATAGTAACTAGTTCAAACGGCCATATGATATGAAGTTTGTCGACACTGCAGTCTATGAAACTCAAATCCATGTAGAAACTACACAGCCAGTTTTTGGTGTACACTATCTCATAACTTTGAGGAAAAAAGGGGTCACAGAAACTGACAATACCTTGAGTGATGGATAATAGACTTGATGAACCCAAGGCCCATCTCTGAAAGAAAATAAATGCAATCAATGGGAAAATTACACTCTACTTGCTCAACGTTTTTCCATCAAATACATGTAGCTATGATTTTTTGTACCACATAAACTTCACAAGAATGACCAAGCTGTGAACCAATGAGTCTATTGATTACATTCAGATAGGTCGACACATGAAGGGTCTCTCATTCACTTTACCATCAGAACGTTCTTATTCCTAAAGCCTAAACCCTCTCCATGCCGCCCCCCCCCCATATTTTGAGATGCAGTACTTACTTTTTATAGTCAAAGACATGTTCTGCATGGGCCGAGTTCCACTTCAGTTTGTGTTTCTTCAGCAAGTCAAGATACCTTTGACAGCACAAACGTAATTTGAAATGCAAACAGAAATATATTTGAGAAAAATATTTGAGAATACTGAATTTTTTTGGTGCATATTACCAAGCTTTGTAAATGTCCTAACTTCGCTGATATCTATATACTGCAGTGGATACAAGGTTCAAATCCACCGATTTTTGTCGCATCATAATCAGTCTCATCCTTACCTTGGTCCAATGATAGCCTCAGCGGTCTGTGGCCCATAGTCATAACCATAAAAGTTCAGTCCTAGAAGAATCTTTGGTCTCTGGTCGGCCATGTCATCTGGTACTATTTCCTTCACACAAGATCGCACCCAATCAATGGGGGAGTTTGGTCCTGGTCTGAAAAAAAAACCAAATCAGTCATGCTTACACTTGATCTGCATCACAACGGCTTGTCAGGTGAATAAAAGCTACAATCCCTCTTTTCCATTTGATCAGAAGGAAAGAGGAAATGCTCTATGGATGGCACCTTGCCTTTCAAAACCATTTTAAATATGCTCTATGATAAACAGCCTTACACTGAGGATTAAATAACTCTTACACCGAGGATTAACTTTTACACCGAGGGTTAACTCTTACACCGAAGATTAACTCTTACACCAAGGGTTAACTCTTACACCGAGGATTAACTCTTACACCGAGGATTAACTCTTACACCGAGGATTAACTCTTACACCGAGGGTTAACTCTTACACCGAGGATTAACTCTTACACCGAGGGTTAAATCTTACACTGAGGGTTAACTCTTACACCAAGGGTTAACTCTTACACCGAGGATTAACTCTTACACCGAGGGTTTACTCACGTTTGTGCACTGGAGTAGTCATACGTCATCAAACTGAATCCATCGACCACTGGATGTAAGGTCCTAAAATCATTGCTTGAAAACATTGCGGTGCCGCTGTTTTTGAAGAAATTGTAGGGAAAAAAGTGAAACATCATGAAGGCATCATTCTGTCTAGAACACAGCGCTTGGCAACAAACAATAGGCAAGTAAGTTAGTGAGGGTTAATTGGGTGTTTATGTGCCTTTGTGTGGTTTTAATACCCAGTGGCTACATGTATATGCAAGAAGGTGCAATGTCCCAGAGCTTAGCACCAGCACTTGGAAAGGTTCGTCACTGAAGCAAGAACTTAAGATCTGACTGACGACTGACGCCTGAGGAGATGACACAATGACTCAAGTACATCTATGTACTGTCCATACATTCAATGACTTACTATTTCTTTAAAACAAAGTCAAACCATCGATTTCAAGCTGCTTAGAATGATTTACCTGGCCATAAGAGGAGGAGGTATCACAAGAATAAACTTCATATCAGAGTTATGCATTGCATCAGCTATGTCCACTATCAAGTGCTGCAATTCTCTAAAACGAAAACACAGATACGACAAATTATGCAACATTCTTAGTTCTTATTCTGACGTTAAACAAGCTTTTAAACCATAAACCATTTCCAGCTAAGATCCAACTTACGTCCTTGCCTGTCCACCTAATTGGCTCCAAACTTCAAGAACAACACCATCAAAACTATGTTTCTGAAAAAGTAAAAAAGTTAAAAAACCAATATTCTAAATTTAGCCATTAAAACCCTAACCCACCTCAATCCTCCAAAATCCAGTGATTTGGAGGATTGAGGATAAATGATGATTTGAACATTGGAGGATTTTGGAGGATTGGGGTGAATGGTGATACAAGCATGGAGGATTTCAGAGGATTGAGCATGAATGCTGATTTAAAAGCGAGAGGATTTTGGAGGATTGAGGATGAATGGTGAATGAAGTACTAAAAATCAGTCACATATACTAAAAATATAGGGGTGCATATAGTCACACATTATACTGTGTATAAAATACTGTACATGTACATGTACCCAAGCACAGTATGTTCCATTGTTCACTGCTGCTGGTCATAAATTACACAATCCTCAACTGCAGTGTGTTAAAACAAAGGCACATCTCTGCTTTGTTTATTACAAAAGTAAAGTCGTCAGCCAACTCTGCACAAAAAAAAACAGCTTCAGCCCAGCAACCAACCTGATGTGCCCAACCCCCCCAATAAAAACCCAAAGTAGGGCCATGAGGATTTTGGAGGATTGAGGATGAATGCAGTTTTTGAAGTTGGGCATTTGGAGGATTTTGGAGGATTGAGGATGTACCCTAATAAAAAGGCCGGAGTAGGTTAGGGCTATGGAAGTGTAATATTCACAATACCGTTGAATCATTATCACTGACGATACACAAATTACACAAATATTGAAGGACATACTCTCTGTTTACCTTATAGTATGCTACAATTGTTTTAGCTAAGGCTTGGATCTCTGTTTCCTCTTGAAACAATGCTATGAAGTCCTGTTTGGTCCACTGGTCAAAGAGCAGTCGAGGATCTGAAGTTTAATGTGCCAGAGGAAATAGATTTTAAATAAAAGCTCACAGGCATGACAGGTAGACATGCATGCATTTTTATGCAAATTTCATTTTTGCCCAAATACAGGACAAAAACACTTACAAATTTTAACGTCACGCTTTCCTTTCTTGACACTTTTTATCCATCCTGGAGGAAAAAGTAGAACAAATTTTTTTGAAAGTGACAGAAGTCTTTGATGTAAATCAAAATGTTTAAACATTCAAGCATGTTGACAACAGTTCAATTTCAAAGATTAAAGTTAATGGAACACATGACAGGAATCTGTAGACAAACTTGTGAGTAAGTGTGATAAATTTCAGATAGGTACATGTATGTAGCACGGCAATGTAGAAGAACAGCCCTCTTTCTGGTTAAGCAGATGGACAAACTGCCTACAGACCTTTATCAATATCTTGTCCTCCATTGACCATGTACTCTTCATCAGATTTTCGTTTCACCTGAAGCCAGACAGGTGAAATAACTGTGAACTTTCCTCCAAAGATCTTAGCAATGTCATAGCCACGGTTATTCCACTGCAAAACAGAAACATAATGATCTTAAAACTAGACAAACTTGTCAAAGTTGTTCATAGTTGTACAATGTCTTACACAGCAATACTGCCCTATTAATGTATCTTGGCTCTTGAGACTTTTCATCGTTATCCAGCTAACTGTAGCTATACTAGGATAATGAAGGAGTAATGTCACAGCATGGCGGAAGGACAGGCAAGGTGCATATAAGAAATAAACATGAAGAATAGAATCCATATATTTAGTCAGCTTGAAGGCTTCTGTGAACCACTTTCTGCCGGGTGAAGTTTACACAACTGGGATGTGTTGCCGGGCACTTTTTCATGACTTTCGGTTTTCAAAATTCTTCAAAAATTTGTAACTTAATTTACTGGACACTTACACATACGCAGTCATGACTGCCTAGTGACTACTCTAATCTGACAGGCAACCTCCATTGATACCTGAGTATTGCACCCAGGCCTACCGCCCAGTAAAGAGAGTCCACATTGTGCGGTGTTGTGTAATTTCCTTAGTTCCAGAAATTGACCCAGAGCATTGGTGGATGGCGGTTCAATTATCTTTACTAATGCGGCCAGATTAGCACGCAGTGGTACTGTATCGCTCATCACTGGAGTGCTTTTGCCCCCACTGATAATCCGCAGGCGCTGAATGCCGCAAACAGTAATATACATGTACTGTTTAAAACAACGGCGGATTACCTCTGATTTATACCAGTACTCTTACATCTCTTTAGTCCCAGCAGCTCGGTCTTTTGTTCTGAATTCAGTCTTTTGCTATAAAGCCCAGTTCTTTTGTTCCAATTTCAGCCATCCCGGCCATGCCTATACGGACCAAATCTCCACTACCGGGAACCCTGGCACCAAGTGAATAATGGATTGACTTGTATAGTTTTCACATTAAAATTGGTCAAGTTTGAACAATTTAGGCAATATCCAAAAGTGACAACTTGTGCATAAAGTACATGTACAGTTGTCTATGATGAAATGTTTGCGGAGTATGAATGTGGACAAACATGTTGGATGGAAACCTACAGGTGTGACATATCCTAGTACTTCTCCTTTGAATTGTCTCTCCTCAACTTTCTTGCTGCAAAAGTTTCCATTTTCACTCAGAATGTCCTTAGTTCGTGGATTCTCCTGAATTAGGCCACGCTCTTCCACAGTTTTATCAGAGAGTTTGACATCTTTCTGTAATGTTTTAAAAATGAGAAATAAAAAGGACTGATTTTAGAACAAATGGTATCGGTGAATTCACCAAGTAATCAATCAATCAATCAGTACAACCATGCAATCGCTTTACACCATCAGTCATGTCAGCTGATCAATCCCAACAGTTACATGACATGTTATTACCCCCAGAACTGTGGTAGCACAGTGCAGCAGATGACGAACCCCACAGTTCTTGTGTGATGAATGAAATCTCCACTACTCCCCTGCTTTATAAAATCAGCCACAAGGTGAACATGGCGAATTAGAAAGAAGTTCACAAGATTACAACCTATAGTGATAGGACTAGTATGCCTACTATGCATACTTATAGTAGAGTCCCCCAACGTGGCGCATTTTTGCATTTAGTTGACTTTTTTCACTCAGTGTTGCCAAACATGCCAAACCTCTTTTTTGAAAAACTTAAAACTCATCTGGTTAAAAAGTGGTACTATTGCCTTCATAATAGTGTTGAACCTTTGTGAACAATTTCAATGTCATGAAATTTTGTTCGAAATCCAACACTGTGGGCGTCTGGATTTTGGGCTTGAATGCGGCACACTTTTAAAAAAATCTGAAAAAATCCCACACAAACATGACAAACATTTACATGTGCTAAACCTTTGAAGTTGATAAATTCTTGTACTGTAAAGCATCATTACTTCCACTTGAATGCGCATCAACTAGTTTTTTGGAAAAATGTTTCCTATTTTAGGGACACATTTTAAAAGTGTTCATTCTGCATGTCGGAAACAAAAGGAAAATTGAAAAATGAAAGTGTGCCAGACTGCAACGTTTATGACATCTACCCCCAGAAGTGTGGTTCAATGTCCGCTCTGCTCCCACATTCGTGGGAGCGGAGCAGACATCAAACCACACAGTTCTGGGAGCGGAGTGGAGTCGGACCCCACAGTTCTAGGGGTATATAACATAGGCCTAGGCCTTAACACCCGTGGGTGATTTTGCACAATAACATCATGAACATGGGATGGGAAAAGGGGCAATGTTTGCTCCTTTTCCTTCCCACAACGCCTTTCAATAATTGCGCAGTGAACTTGGTGAAGCCTAAACTGGGGCCTAATATTTATAATGGCCCATGCCTTGGCTATACTACTAAGTACTATACTGCCCCTAGCCTAACCTGGCTTTTGTTGTTTTGCTTTTTGTCTTTATGTTTGGGTGGTCCACCTGCGTTAACGATCGGGTATAAAATCACTCCAAAAAGAACGACAAAAGTTACAAATTGGAAGGAAAAATTCATTTTGAATTTCAGAAATCCCCCCTCAAAAGAAACATCTCCCTAAGTTGACCACACGTATCTCTGTTCCGTGGGCGCAGCCATATTGACAATTAGGCCCCGCCCCTCTGGCTGATCAAAACAAATGCTTTAAATTGAAAAGCATTTTTAGTATAAAATAAGGTTTTTATTTGATTTGACGATTAATTTATATAGAAAATGAATTTACATTTTTAAATTTTAATGTAAAGAAAATCAACAATTTAACAAAACTTTTCTCCCCGAAAATTCTTCACAGAGTTCCAAAGCAACGGACCGATGAGTTTTAACCAATGGTTTTAATATCGATCCGGCCCGCGAAGCTTGACATGACCGTACCATGCTATCTAAAAGGACGTGTGCATGTAAGACATCGCCATCGACAAGTTCCTAGCGAAGTCGTGTTTCTTCTCTGTTCTGAACGTCAGCTTATCTTTTTCGTGTGAATTGTAAGTAAGCCTAGGCCTATAAATGATTTGCTTCTTAGAGATTCTAAGAAGCAAGCTGCAGTGCATGCAGTGTTTGCGATGCAAAGCAAACCTCATGCCAGGCCCAGCCACAATCTGACGATCACGAGGACCGCGGCCGCGGCGGCCATGTTACCCCAGCAGAACCCGCAGTTCTAGAGTAGTATGACGCCTCTGTCATGTTTGTGACCACGCACTTTGGTTGAACAGAGTGCACCATCATCAGTTATCATGAAAGAGAGGACTTAGGCAAACAATGTCATGAATCTTATAATTGATTATGAAAATGAATGTCTCGGAGTTCCGCCCACCGCCTACCTAGGCCTACCGCTGAAAGTGAAACAGCCGCCCAAAATTTCATTATTTTCCCATAAGTTATTATTTCAGAAAAATCATTGTTTTTCTGATGGGGCATTGTCAGGAATAGTTAAAAATGGCAGCAAAGAAAATCAGGAGTTTGTAGTGCGCGCACTCGCGTATAAATGGGCTGATGCAAGATTGAGAGCTACGTGTAGTCTAGTCATTCTAGTAGTACGGTAGTAGGCCAACTTTCAGTTTCAAGGTTGGTTCCCTTTGCATGGACACGTATTCGCTATTGTATCGATGCGCAGTATGTACACCAAATAACAAATAATTATTAATGAATAATGAAAAAAAAGCCTAATGGGTTTTCAAAATTATCTGGACGGAAGTCAAAGATGTTCATTCTTTTGGCCTAATTATGCCTGTCATGAAATTATGTTGAGACTGAAATAAGAAAAGGAACATAGAGTCAAGTACATAGGCCTGATAAGTGTAAAAATGGGAAGATTAAAGAATGGTTTTTACAGTCACTCTGCCTATTTTCCATTTCACCCTCAACCACTTCGCCCATTTGCCACTTCGCCCATTTGCCACTTCGCCCGCATGCCACTTCACCCACACCAGCCACTTCACCCACACCAGCCACTTCACCCACACCAGCCACTTCACCCACACCAGCAGGGCCCACACAATATTTTGCATTATGCATGCCCAAATTCCACAAGCACATACAGGCCTGTAGTTAATTAATCGACAGATCTCGGCATCGTTAAGTTAATCTATTTGTTGACAGACTTGCTGCAAGGTCACGGTTATTTGGGTTGTGACTGGTATTAGTATTACTGTACTTTCACAGCAACAAATGAATTGCAGATAGAGAGGGGGGCTCATGTCCATGTATTAGTAGCAATCATAAAACAGTCGAACAGGTTCATCGTTGCACTGAGCTACAGACATGTCTGGAAAATGACCTGGATGTTTTTATTATCCACGTGGAAACTCGGTGTAAATTTGTGAGCGTGGCTGCTCGCCGGGTTTTAACAGGTTTATTGCTGGCAAGTTTTCAGATACAATAATTGAAACATCAAGACTCAGACAACATGAAAGCATTTTCAAAAAAGCATTGTTTCTGTTACAATGCCCTGTAGTTTTCCAATAGTGTGCACTGAGACCTCATGAAAGACGGACAATTCCTTTATTCATTAAGACAATTCTAATTCTAAGAACTAAGTGACTGAAATATTTCTGAAGTTTTGATCATTTTTGGGGTCAAATTTGCATTGTCTAAATTTGTAATGCACATGCTTCATGTTGTCGCAGGAGTGGCACAGTTGTTCCGTGCTGTTCTCGCTACATGCGCCGGTTGGTGTCGCACCCGTGTTTAATTTTGCTTCGGTTTACAACATAAAAGACCTCAAAGTGACATTTTCTAAGTCCACAGTAAATATCCTAATATTGCTATTTGATGTGTTATCTTTCCTTTTCTCTCTTTTCATTTTTGACAAAAGCTGACAAAAGTGGCGTGTGAGTGAAGTGGCACATGGGAGAAGTGGTTGCAGGCGAAGTGGCAAATGGGCAAAGTGACCGAAACAAAAGAAGTGACATCCTAGGTTACTGCCTCCACTTTTTTATCAGTCAGGCCTGAACTTATTGCTGAAATGTCATGAATGTTGAAATGACTTGAATAGTCTTGGGCTGAAAAGTACATGTATTTCAAGCTTTTCTTAGAAAATGCACTAAACTCTCCATACATACGTGTACATGTACACTGAAGGCCTACACCACCAACAAAGTGCCGCCAGGATTTTGGAGTCTTTCCAAAAATGACTTACTCTGCTTGTGAAACAGAAATTTAGTCGCCCCAACCATGACGTAAAGACTTGACTATCCACTATGCAGACCCATCGTATCGATGACAATTAAATTGTGCTGGAATGACCGTGACGTGTTACACCACCCTCTGGGGTGTAAACCAATGAAGTTGTCATGGTTAGGAGTGGCTAATGTGGGTATGTTTAAGTTTTAATCACAGTTTTGGAATGTTTTGTTTTGCTAAGCTTGTTAATAGCTGAAAGGTTATTTTTGTGGATTTTAGGTGCAGGTAGAATGGACAGCTCAACCAGACGATATACCTTGAATTCCCACATAGTTCCCTATAAAGGGAGGACTGAGGTCTTCTTTGAGAGTGCAGATTCATACATGTTTGTGAGTGTAAGCTTTCTGTCTAGTCTGATTTTTTAAGAAATGATGCAAATACTTTGTCCCAGAAATCCTGGTAGTGATTTATGTACACGTACTGTTCATGTAGTGTACATGAAGTTTTATGAATAAATTGTCTCAAGAATATCGTAGGAGCCTTTCTGATTTTCTTTTTTTACAGAGACTGCTTATTTTGTGTGGGTTGACAGAGTTTTCAGTGCATTGATGCGTGGCTGGCAACATTTTTTTCTGACCACTTTTTGTCAGCTGCTGGTAGCAAAAACTGCAACTGGGTCCACAAGACCGTGGCTTTTACCATGATTACATGTATTTATATATAAAATATACCATGTACATGCATCTGCAGCAGATAATGCCCAGTTCTGAGGCAGTTCCCTTGGCTTTGTGCACTTCAAAGGGTTACATGTACCTGATGTATATGCACAGTTTCTGTCTGTGTCATCACTGGGTAATTTTTTTATTTTTTGCCTAGCACTGTGCAGTGAAGGGTTATGCTGGGGCATTCCTGAACACCTGTGGAGGGGTCATTCACTTTGGGGTCAAGAAAACAGGGCGTGTCATGGGGGTGTCCTGCACAAGATCCCAGGAAGACAGTTACCGACTGGAGGTCGACGACGTCATGAAATTCTTCCAGCCAAAAGTCTCTCCAAGTCTGTACAGGTTGGTTGGCATTCATGATTGAGATTCATTCTTGCAGAGTTGACAAGCAGCACATTTTATGCTTGTGAGCTTTATCGACTAATTACCACATAGATACTTGTAGGTGAGCAGACCCAACTTGTTCAATTCTGGTCGTACACTGCAAACTTATCTGTTGAAATGCATCATTATTGAATTGGCACACTTTTTCTCTCGAGAAAACATGGCATGAATATCCTGCCTTCGTCTTTTTAACATGTTTAAAATGCGTTTTCTCCATGTGACCGTCTTGCCACATGTACAAGTTGTGGAACATGTCAAAGCAACTTGTGATTTCTTTTCAGTGCTTGACCCTTTCTTGCAACGGTGACGGTCTCTGGTAATTCAGGTTTGCATTCTCCAACAGGTTGGATTTCATTCCGATCGTCTCACCTCAATTCACCTTTGACTGGAAGGTGATTTCCCTCCACGTGTCAGCAGGGCCTGACATCATGTACATGGATGGCTCAGGACGGGTGAGTATGAGTAGACGGATAAGCCCAGCCTCGTTTTTGTTTGTGACCAATTGCAGCCGTGATTTATGTCTGACATGCGTGCACAAAGTCCGACGTGCGTGCACGCGCGTATGACAAGCGCGAATGGGCCATGTACATGTAGTGCGGCATTGGAGAAGAGCGCATACCACTGGTTAGTGGCCGTATGCACAGCGGGTGGGGCTTACTGGATCGCTGTATTACATACAAAGACTTACAAATTGCCTCTTACTACCAATAGTATGAATCCACAGAAGGAGGTTGAACATATCCTAAAACTGTCAACACTGCAGGCGTGCATGTTCATCTTACGGCTGCTTGCACGAATGTTGGCTTGCACTTAACTTCGCATGAACGTGGTTCCAGTTCTTTTTCTAGAGATTTTGAAAATAACCTTTTTAATATTCTAGGTAATGACGATGTCATCCAAAGGACTCTATGGGCCATTACATCCTCAGGAAATACAGCGTCTTGCCATCCACAAATACAAACAGGTATCTAAGCCTTTCATTTCATTTTCAGTCATCTACGTGTATAGCTGTTGTGCGTGCCCCCCCCCACCATGTAGGAAGTCACTCCTGCACTCCTTTGCAGAGCCAATGTGGATAAAGTCAAACAGACTCTTTGGTAATGTCCCGTCACAACGTTTAGCCCAGAAACGCCCCGTAGGAAGGGCTTTTGTGAGCATCAAGAGTTTGATGAGAAGAAAAATGTTAAAACCATATTGGCTCAATTTTACAGTCAGTTTTCCAGTCAGTAGGATTGTCTGATTGCTTTCCATACATTGTACGTGTATTTGCGTCATGTATATTTGTCTTAGTTGACCTCACAATGTATGCTGCCTTTCCTGCAAGTTTTTCCTTTCTTGATACCGGTAGGATGTACTGAACGCCGATAACTTGATCAAAGTGATAACCCCATGCCCCAAAGATGGGCGACATAAAAAGAAAACTAAGAAGAAGAAGGATGACAAGAGATCCATGTCCACCCAAACCACCCCACGCACACAACCGCCACCTGTTGTTTCCTCATCCCAGGTTCTGTCAACTCAGGTCAGGAGTTGTCTTGATTTATCTTCATTTGAAATTGCGCTTCCTCACTGGTTTGCTTTAGCATTTTTGTTTCTCAGTAAACACAGGGCCCTGTCAGTATTCCTTTTGTGGGATATGGGGGGGTGTTTGAGCATCCCACGGACACATAGCACCCCGAGGGGAAGCTAATAGATTACTCATGGTGAGTGTGATATGCAGATATATAGCCCTGTCATGTGTTTGTTCTGGGCCAATAAACGGACAGTATCCGAGACAGAGGTATGGCATTGCAATTTGATGTGACTGGTGCACTAGCGAAGAAAATACTACAGTTGTGGATATAATTCAGCACAGTAATATATGCTTCAAGCAATGCCATTGTTGTATTTGGAGAAGAGAAGGGTTAGAGTGTACATGTAGGTGTTGAAAATGTGCTTGTTTTGATCAGAGACTAACTTCTACGGTGCCCACCATCGGAGTTCTCCGTTTCATTTGGTGTTTTCATGTTTCAGACAACGCCAGGCCTCGTAAACAACACCCACGTCCGTTGTATGAATGACACACCGACTGTTTCCTCAACTACTTCACAGGTAGAGACAACCGTACTGTATCACATGCATGCTTTGCGCTAGTGGTCAAAATTAACATTATCCATTTTGAATTTACTTCAAAGTATATTTTTTTCTGGTTCAAATGACGTTTTCAGACACAGGAACCTGTCGGAAACTGTAACGAGAAGTCTATACCGATGCTGTCAAGTGACGAAGACAGTGTTATAGTCCTTGATCTGGACAATTCCGTCATAACCATCAGAGACTCTGACTCCGATTCTAATGTGATTGTTCTGGATCAAACCTGCGATGCCACACCAGTTCGTACTCCCAGCGACCTCTTTGCCTCACCGGACTGCTCAACCATCAAAAAGAGGCCCCAGGAACGCCCAGATCCAGAGTCCCCCAGCAGGTTTACAGCTCGGCCAACCAGCAGGACAATCGGGCCTTCACACTGCAGGGTGGATGCAACAAACAAGCACGCACGTACTTCTAGTGACACTGTAGTTAGCCACAGCAGAAAGAAGCTCAGGAAAAGTTAAATGAACGATTATACGGCTATGAGAAAATGTCAGCGTTGACTGGTTTATTACTGAGCATTATGCTTCTCCTGCACTACTTACATATGCACTAACCAGGCCAAAACAAAACTGGGGGTCCAGTTGTTCCCCTCTGTCAAAGGGTGCTAACCAGGCCAGGGTGTGCTTCCAGAATTGCTTAGCAAAGGCAAACTTAGGCAGTCACGTTGCAGGCCACATTAAAGCAATGATGGCAATACTGTACCATATGCACTTGGCCCACCCTATGGGCATCACTGTTAAAATGGGCCTCAACAAAAATGATCCCGTATTCAATTGAAGACTAAAAGCAGTTTTACTATAACTGAGACAGGTCAATCTCAGTAAAACCAAAAAATCAACTTCAATGACTTGACTTGATTTCTTCTCGTCCATTTATTACTTTGTGAGCTCTTTGAAAGAAGAAACAGTAAAGTAATGACTTGAACAGTAATTACTTGATGTATGCAAGGATTATTTATATTGAAATTTCATTTACTGTGCACTAGTACTTACAAGAGTTTCGTATAACTCTTCACATTGGTAAAAATTTATCTTTTTTTTTCTTTTTTGTGACATAATATATGATTACAATGGACACTGTTTATTGTTGCGCTTTCTAAACTACAGCAGTTGCCCATTGAAGGAAAAGACAGGTTGGTTGCCTCTCCAAGTAGATTACAGATGAATGCTCCATTTACCCCAGATATGAAAGGTAATTGCACTAAATGAATCACAAAGGAGGGCCTGATGTTTCCATCCTACCGGAATCTTTCTCTGTGTAATTAGATTTGTTCTTGCATAAAGCCAAGTTTCAGGTCAGGAATTTGTCAACATGGGTTTTACAACAATTTACCTGCATGTACTATACATAACCAGCAACTGTCAGGACTGTACACCTGTCAGAATGCATTGCAGGGAAAATTATCTTGCAAAAATTGAAACAGATTCCAAAAGAAGGTTGCCAATTTTGATACAAGACTATGGCTCCTGTGGGCCAATTGTACCTGATACCAACAAGCCTACATGCTGGGGAGATTTATGCACAAGTACAGATTGAATCAAGTCCAATGTTGGCAGAAAAAGATGTTTGCAAGAACTAGCAGGAAGGGTGCCCTTCTAACATGCGGTTTACACTAAGAATATTCTGCCCTTTTCTTGCTAGTGTGTGTTGGGCTTTTTTAAAGAAAATTCAAAATGCCTGTATGTATAAGGCTTTGTAAAAGAAAATGCATCATAACGTCTATTGACTTGAGTTCAAAATTACATGTATAACAGTGTGTTATTGTGGTTCATTTGGTGATGACTTTGAAATAAAGTGCCCTTGAATTACAATTTACACCAATGTACATGTACATGAACATTGTATGTGTCAAATGAGATGTCTCGTCCTCGGGATGCTCATGCTAAAAAAATAATTTAGTTGCATTTTTAAAATGCATCTCTGACAGAGCATTTGACTAGGCAATAAGAATTGCTTGTTAAAGACATATAAACATTTACTGTATGTCACAATATACACTACAATGAAAAGTTCTGTTCATTCTCTCATTTGATTGGATCGAAATGTTTAAATTATCACAGTGTGGTGGTTCAGATTACTCCGAGTTGAAAACTGTACAGCAAACGCTACATACATGTACATGAACCAATCAAACTAGTCAAAGATACAATCCATTATTTACAGTTATCCAAAAAGTAGCTGATGAAATGACTTGGTTAGGGCTAAACTCCCTGTGAAAATATTCCTTCTGACAAACTGTCATTTTGAAGAAAACAACAAAAGGTTATTTCCAATGATGCATCTAAAAAAGCATTTTTCAAAATTGCCATTCAAAGCGTGCACAAGTATTGACATAACACGTGCACGTGTTCACTCTCCCAGATGCTGACTTCAGGTGCAAAACATAACTCTGCAACTTTTAATCTGAAATCAAGATCCTAGAATATTGTTTTTCTTGGAATAGTATTCACTGAGCTGAAACTTCATCAGGTTTGTTCTTGGACACCCTTCTTTGGATTTTGAGTAAGTCCGTTGCCTCATACATTTAGGAACATACATGTAATGCACAAAGGACAAATGGATTGTACCTTCACTGCACATATTACATGGACATCAAGCTTTTTCTGTCTTCAAGAAGTACATGTCTACCGTACCTAATGACAAATGCCTGCAATGTTTCATCCAAACACTCAGTAACCTCACCTGCACACTGCATGTTCCATGTTAATACATATTATACTTGAACCTTTTTAAAGGAAAATGACATTATTTCATCATTCGAATTTCATCATTTATGTATAGGTACACGTACATATGTATGTGCATGCAAGAAATTACATTTACATGCACTGTACATACCAGTGCATATAAATACTTGCCTTGCAGGCACTTCTGTTAAGCTGCGTTTTTTTAGTACGTGTTCATATTTACAAGTAATTTGCTTCAGAGACGACTTGTTCATGATAAACTGCACAAAATCCAATATGGTATGTAATGAACTCTTTAAACTATATGTAAATTGGAAAATACCTGCTACATGTACATGTAGGTCATGATGTGTAAACCCAGCGCGCATGATGTGATCATGAGATAACAAGTGAAGTGGGCGAAGTCCCTATTGTTACATAGGGTATCCCTTACAAGAGAATCTCAGTCAACATTACTAAAAATGTTGTGTTTGGTGCTAAACTTTCCCATGGTTAGCCTGAAAATCATGTCCAAGATTATCACGAATAATATTTTGTTGGCACAGAGATACTGCATGACAATGCAACCATCTCTCTCCCAGTGCTACAAAACTTGGGTCAGCAGGTATAACGTTGACTCGGAAATTACAACTCTAAGTACTATTTACCAAGTTATGCATCCAAGTGACACATGGAAGAGCCAAAGAAATGTACGCTTTTTTGATTTCATTGCTTCTTCATTTAAAAAAATTATGCCAGGTTTCAGTGTCAAGAGTAATTCTGACATTTTTGCACAAACTGCATGCCTACATTTTACGCAAGATTTCAATGGCATCCTCTCTTGGCATTGCCTGCAAATGTTTGTGCAGGATGTCTAAAATATCCTTTGAAGCCTTCCCTTGTGCCAGCTGTTGTTGACAGAAGCATTCCAGAACATGAACCATCGGACTTGTCCCACTTGACTTGCAACGCTGCTGGAGATCCTCAATGATTGATTTCTTGAATCCCAGGTTTTCGGCTAACAGCCTCCAGTCCTTACCATGAAGCAGTTGCCTGTCGAGGCAGACACAGAGTTGTCGGAAGAGCCCATCTTTGGGGAAAACACTTGAAGCAAATTGGCCAGGGTTCAGTGTAGGTTGCATTCGGCGGTAAAGCTCATCCAAGCTGCATGCTGCCGCATCCACCTTTGCATTGGAGAAAGACACAAGATCATTTTACACATCTGAAGAGCGATTTGACTTCAAAAAAGAAGCATGTACATGTGATCTTATCCCATTTTGTCTTGTGGATACAGATACATATCACATTGATTAGACAGTAGTGTGACCCAAATCCTCCACCTGAATTCTAATCAAAATGCCCAACTTAATTCGTGACACATTTAAAGAAACAGGGTATGAATCCTGTCTTTCTGAATAAATTCCATGTCCCTGGATGCAGGCGATGAACAATCCACCCCAACATGCCCACGTTGAAAGGCACTCTCACAGGCACAGAAGCGATGAGCTGGTGGATAGTTTTCAAGTGCCTCAGGCACATGCGACAACCATACATGTACATACATGTATATATGTGCATTCAAACCAAAAAGTGGTTGTGCATGCAGTGCCACACACGTACAGTCTTCTTGAGTACCCACCACAGGACTGCTGTTTCTGTGTAACTCTTGTTCCTGCTTGGGTTGCATAATGCCATTGTGCATGTCTTTAACTCTATTCCAAGTCCCTCAAACTCCAACTGTATACATGTAGGTTTTATCAGGTTTTGGCTGATTCAGTACCATACATTATGAACTTCTTGTTTAACTTTGTTGGATTGAGGAATAAAGGCCTAGGGTACGGTAATGGTGTTAGATTCTGTTTGAGTGGGAACACAGAGTGGACACTCCATGAAGTGACTGGCTAATGGTATTACAATGTACGTGTTGGCCTGTTCATGATTTTGTCAGGTTTGGAAGTACATGCACATGTGCTGGTCTGCAAGTCACACATTATACTGCAGAGACCTACATGTATACTGTACATGTACATACCAAATGACTCAAACTTCAACACTGGTAAAGACCTGTTCGAGTTTAACAGATTTTGTCCAGTCACATGCCAGCACTGTAATTACAAACACCCCCTTTTGTTACATGTACATGTACACGAAGGTTCAGTACTGTTTTTAGTGCACAGCCTAAACTTGGTGGCACTTGTACTGTAATTGGCTCAAGTAGACCCTGTGCATTACCCCCAATTCCTCACTCACCTCTGTAGCAAGGGCGGCCCTGATGTTAGTAGCTGTAGGAATCAAGGGAGTCACAGTTCGACTGGCTGCCTTTTCTCTCTGCATCCTCTTCTCAACGCTGATGGTCCTTTTCAAAATTTTCTCACAGTTAGCTGCTCCCATGTTCACAGCTGTTAAGATGCCTAACTCCATTGGCACCTTGGCGTTTTTGTCACAAATGACAGGTATGACGCAGAACCTCTTTTCTGGGTTTTCAATTGACTGCACGAGAGCCGTCTGGTAATGATTCTCACACCAGAAGTCACTGAGGAAGCTCTTTGTTAAGAAGAGCACTGTGAAAGTGCTTCGCTTAAATGCTGTATTAAAGGCTGCAAACTTGGACATATTTGCTGGGAAGTCTTCTGGGCTAGTAGTTTTCCAGGAGTTGCGTTGAGCATACGTCTGGAACTGATTCACATAACTCACATCATGTTCACTGTGCAAGAGAAGAACATCAAAATGTTCCTTTTCCCAAGTGTCTGCATCCTCCGATACAGGTGGAGGTTCCTCTGCTTTGGGTAGAATTGTTTCCTGGGTTGGGGTATGAGGGGTTGTTGCCATCTCTCTAGCTGTCTGAGGAGAGGGGCTTTGATAAGCAGAAGCAGAATTCGGACAGGTGACTGGATAAAAATCAGGCTGTGCTGCAGTGGTTACCTCTCTAACATCATTGCTAACAGGGGGATGAGTACCAGTCATAAGATGCGTCTGCTCTGCCTGGCCATCAGCTATATCAGCTTTAGCCAAATTGTCATCACCAAGACCAGGTTCTTGGTACACTTGAGCCTGGTGACTTGCAGCAGTTTCGCTTGTACCTGTACATGCAATGTGATCAGAGGTGTCGGTGGGATCGTCAGAGCCGACATGAAGTCTAACATCCTGCCCCACGGTGGGTGCTGTTGATGCCATGTCCTGCTGCCCTTCATGATCCTCGTTGATCGGACTGATGGAAGCTTTGGCAGCATCGGTGCTTTCTAGTTCTTGCTTGGAACATGTAAGGGTTCCAACTTCCTTTTTCATCTCTTCACCTTCTTTAGTCGACTCACTAGATACCTCTGGAGTACTAGTGATTTTTAACTTTTCACCCATTCCCTTGGCTAGAGCACAAGTGTCACTAGTTGGTCTTGAATCGGTTTCAAGATCACTGGAAGAGGTGCTGAAGCAGCCAGTGTCAGTCCTTGAGGTGTCTTCCCTCTCCATACCATCTGGTGGAAATCTTTCGCCTCTACCTTTAAGCTGCATCCGTGCTGTGGCATCAGCCATGGCTACATGTAGATATCTGCATTAACGATTCAAAGACAGTCACACATGCACGAGGATTGGTGGAAGAGAACAAGCTTACACATTATTGAGAAATTCGCATTTCATTTAGGAGTTCCAGGCATGCCAACAATTCTGTAACTCTTCTGATTAATTTGTGCACGATTCAGGCACTGGATGCAATGACTTGAGGTTTGTACATGCCTTCCTGATGAAAGCTTCATGTACAATACAGTACATGTACACGGAGATGATGAGAGAGGACGAAATTAATCTTTTCTTACGCTGAAGCAAGGTCTCCTAGTTTTCTCTAATCTTGTTGTAACATTGTAACTGTTCTGGAAAAAGGTTAAAACCTACAAATGTTCAAAGCAGAGTATGGGAAATCTTCACCAAAACACAAGTTAGGTCTGACGTCCAAAGCTGCACAATTGGTCTGAATCTCATCTCGTGAATACATGTATGTGGTGCGGAATTAGTTGATCAGTGCATTTCCTCTATCTCTTAGTGATCAGCTGATCTTGCTGAGCAATCTTTCATGTCTGTCGATAATTTCACTGTGAGATTTTTGCATTTTTCTTTCCAGTTTATTGCTGTGGCAGACCATTTCAACAAAACATGCTAAGTAGGAGATTTCAGGATCAACTGCTTGTGCGAAGTGATTATGTAATCGTACTGATCAACTCATTTGAGTGCAACAAATATCATGCCTATCATGGGCATTGCCAAGATTTTTTCCAGGGTAGAGGGGCAAACCATTTTGTTCTCAGGGGGGAGGATACCATAGGAAAAGCAACCATCAGTTACAAACTGATCAACCTTTAACAACTGAAGGGGGTCAATGTTAAGTTTTTTAAGCAAACTGGTGTTTCTGGTCCCTTTTCACGCATTCTTTTTCTTTCACTTTTTCCCTTATTTTCTGATTGGCCCCCGACGCCCCCCCCCAATGCCCATGGGACCCAGGTATGTAACAACACCTTGAGCTACGAGGTTCATCGCATGTCCCGCCTCTCCAAAGACGGAAAGCACATGAGGAACCACATCCTAGGGTTAGGGCATGTAACTGTTAGTAACAGTACGTCGACTCAATTCTAAAAGGTCATTACAGCAAATAGGTACATGTACTTTTTGAAAATACCTTGCACTCTTCAAGACCTCACCCTGAGCAGTGAGCACAAAAGAAACATTGCATTGAAACAGACTGCATTTATTTTACTTAATACACGTACTTACAGGTATTAAAATATTTTTCAGGGCAACTATATTCAAATTTTAACAAATTTTCTTACCACATTTCATGTTTAACATAATAGTTTTCAGTAAGGACCTTCGAGAGCAATTTTTCAGAAAGGACCTTCAGCACTGACACAACGAGGACATGATCATGTTGTTGGGCATGATCAGTCAATCTGTATGAACACTCGATCTCTGCATGATCTGCCAATCGGTATGATCACTCAATCTTTGCATGATCTGTCAATCAGTCTGATCACTCAATCTTTGCATGATCTGTCAATCAGTCTGATCACTCAATCTTTGCATGATCTGTCAATCTGTATGATTATTCTGCCATCAGCCAGTCTGATCATTTGCCTTCTCTTTCTATTTTGCAGTTGTGGAGGATTGTTTCAAAAGCAGGCAGGAAAGTCGGCAATTTCATAGCACAAAAGTCCCTCCCCCTCCCCCGCAAAAATCACAACTTTACTGGCACGAGTCATCATGCATTACGGTCATACTAGTGACTACTCCTGTTCAGTGTATGCAATCTTGACTCTTGGGCAAATTTACTGTACTCCTTCCAAGTTGAAGTATTCTATGAGTGGGTTTCATTCAAAGGCAAATCAACATGGGAAGTATGGAGTACAGTAAATTTGTGTCGGATTCAAACCGTACTGAACACTCCTAATCCTATCACAGTCTACTATTTCTGTTTTGTTATACTGGTAGCAAAAGACCATGACAACTGAGAACCAGTTTAGAGTGCAAAGTCCCCAAGCCCCAAAATTGTGGAGAGCTGTAAAGAGTCACAAATGTTTGTGACTCAGGTTACGTCATGTGATAGTGACATTATATGTATATGTAGTGACTCAAGTTCAGTCACTGCAACAGCATGACTAAGTTGAGTTGAGTCATTAAGCAAAAATTCGAGTCAAGTCAAGTTGAATCAAGTATTAAGCTTGAGTCAATTTGAATCACAAACTATTAAGGCAATAATACTATTGATCAAAACAGAAGATCTTTGACATTTTTAAACTTACATGTATCTCGCAGTAACTGCATGTGGTCATTTACCCTTGATGATACATTACATGTACACGTAACATGTGTAATGAATATTGTAAACCTGCACTATAATAGTCTATATACATGTAAGTCATTGAAAATAATTTTTTATTTCACAAAGTCAAATCTGATTTTAAAAGTCATGGCTAATTATCTGCAGTGCACACGCACATGCATTTGTGTTCTTTACACAGTGCAAAACAAAACACTAATTTACCATGTTTAATAGTGTGCATTACATTAGTTTCTGCTTGTATTGGCTTTGCTTATTTATCATTCTAAAATACAGACACAGGTACGGGAATAGCTGCACAAAAGCCGTACAAAATTTCGCGTTTTCCATAGGTCTGAACACACAAACCTGCGCCCAGCAAGCATCACGTGTTCATATCATGTACATAAATGTACAGATGTATGTACATGAGTCTGTACATCAGGTAGGCCTACAAGGCTACAGCGTGTACTAGTTTAGTTTACTACTGTGTTCATACCATTTCAAAAGAATGAATCTGAATGATATAGAAAAACGTATGCAATCTTATTACCACATTATTTTGTACTGATACATGTAAATAAGGAAACATTACCTTTCATTTATAAAGCACGCATGACATTGCAAACACTTAGAAGTGAAATGAAAAACCCGGAAGGCACACTGCGCACGCGCGGTACTGGGGGACTTCCCCGTGAGTTTTTCCAAGTTAGCCATGAGCTCGAGGGCGCACTACTCGACATGCGTTAGTAGTAGGTGGCCAACGGGTTACATGTACATGTACTTCATTGATTTATCATAATGTCATTACTAGATGGTTTTGAGTCTTCGGTACAGTTCGTGTATATTCTGAAAACGATTCTCAAATCCCTTAGGTGGATTTACAAAGGACTTGCTCTTGTTGGAGTGAGTTTTCACGGCGTATACACCAATTTCAAGTTTGTTTGTTTTTTTCTCTCTCCTGTTTTTCACGGTTCTCTCTCTTTCTCTCTCTTTACATTTTAGTCTTGCACGTGCGAAGTTCGAAAAATACTTGAAATTCTGGCCTTCCTATAAAAACATTAAATAAACTTGATAACGACTAAATCGACCCAGTGCTTGTTATTTTACCCCTGTCGCGTGCTCTAAAATCATTTGCATAAGAATTCGAAAAATAGATGGTTTTGGATATATGGTTTTTACTGGATTTTATGGGTCTCTTTCAGGGGCTAAAGGAATTTACAATTTTGGAGCTGAGGCACTGAATCTTTACACAACGAATGAATAAAACTTGCATATTGAATGTTTCTTGATTTATGACATGAAATCTTCAAAAAGGCATAAGTTGATATCAAACTTGTGGACGCTTTTTTTGTTGGATCCGGGGAGGGCAACGCGAGACCGTAGCACCATCCCCAAAGGAAGGCCCGGCAGGATGTTTTTATTTTGGAAAATCTGGATCTGGATGAATATTCTGAAAAGCTCCAAATGAGCATCACTCAGAACGAGTTAGTGATAATGAGAGAAATGATGAAAGAAATGTTGAAATGATGAAATGAAATGATGAGAGAAAAGTGATTTTGCGGTCTATTTATACCACGAAGCCACGACGCACCATCCGTTCTAGCTCAACATTGCTGCTCTATACACCGGTCACATCGCACTAAGACTTATTGACATCGTTCCTTCCTGCATGCATCACCATCGCTTTGGAACTCTCTTCCTCACTATGTCGGAAGTGTCAATAATGGAAATGAATTTAAAGCAGTTCTCAAAACTTATCTGTTCCATTAATTAATTGCTCTTAATTGTTGTTTCTTGTGAAGTGCATCGAGACTTTGGTTGGTGTGAAACGCTCAAAACTGTGTTATTATTATTTTATGCCTTCCCTTCCATAAGCGTGTAGAAAGATCCCAATAATATAGGTCCTATCACATGTATCACCCGTAAGAAAGGTCACATGAAAAAAATTGCCCCTGTCAAAAAGTGGGCGTTACTGGCCTTTCTGCATCCCCCTCCCAAACGCGCTGAGACCATGAGGGTGCAGATCACTAAATTCAAGTGAGAATTTTTGACCAGCTCATTAGCATTAAAATTGCCCCCCACCCACAGTATCTTTTGAAAAAGGAGATTGTTTGGCCCCCAAAAGGGTGCGATTGTGTAAATCGTTGCCAGGATCTACTCCCTGGGTCTTTGAGCTTTCATACGAGGGCAGAAGGGCTAAAAACTACGGTTGAAAAATGGTCCTAAGTGCCGGAAAGTTGAGGGTTGCCACTTGAAAAACGGCTGCAATCAGACTTCGGAAAAATCACTTTTTTGGGGGTGATTTTGTTTTGTGGGAATAATTAAAAATGTAATTGGTTAACCCACAAAAAAATGAGAGGAAATTGAAAGATAAGTGA